TTTACTTCACATAGTTAAACTTCAGAATACAAAACATATTTTGACAATCCAGAATTACCTGTTTCAACAGATAACTAGTCCTTCACAAAGAGGCCTTTAATATGAAATAACCAGTGGGATTAAACATAACAGAAGAAACACAGACAATTAAATGCTGGCCATCAAGTGAGCCAGTTGATAATGGAACTGCCTAGTATCACACCTTGGGATTCAAGTGACTTTTATAATTTTGCCCCTCAGGACTACATGGGATGGCGACTGAAAGTCTGGGAAGGAGCAATCTCAGAAATTTTAGGGCCAAAGCCTGAGGCGTAGGGGTGGCCTTTGGGATCTCACAGGGAGGCATGTCTTTCAGTATAATATCTCCTGAAACTCCCATTACCAAATTGCACAGGATGGCCTCAGATTTTCCACGCCTCCTTTCTTGTCAAATCAAACTTTGACATTCTATCACCTAAATAAAAAACTTTTTTTTGTTTCATTTCCCTCTGCAAATATCAGTTCCTAAGGCATAAAACGGGGCAGGGGACTACCCATTGGTCAGATAAGTACCTGTTCACATAAATAACTCTATCAAAGGAAGGTTATTAGTTAGGAGCAGTTGCAACCTGCTATAACCCACTCCAATACACCACCTGCCAGATAATTCTTTTAAGGAAAGGAAAACAGGACGTAAACCATCAAAAGATTTAATGCATGTTAAATCCCTGGACTGCAAGCAGAACAAACCTATCCATTCTGAAGGAAATCAACCCTAAGTGCTCAATGGAAGGACAGATCCTGAAGCTGAGGCTCCAATACTTTGGCCATCTCATGAGAAGAGAAGACTCCCTGGAAAAGACCCTGATGTTAGGAAAGTGTGAGGGCAAGAGGAGAAGGGGACGACAGAGGACGAGATGGTTGGACAGTGTCACCGAAGTGACCAACATGAATTTCACCCAACTCCGGGAGTCAGTGGAAGACAGGAGGGCTTGGCGTGCTCTCGTCCATGGGGTCACGAAGAGTTGGACACGACTTAACGACTAAACAACAACAAATAACTTCACAATATTTATTCAGTTAAATACATTTATCAACACCAATATGGATGCAAACATCCGTTAAATTAATTCTCAATTTACCTGGACAAGCATAAAAATAAATATCACCTGTTGAAAACTCAGGCAGTACAAAACTATGAAAAACACCGAAAACACTAATTGGACACCGGTGACAGAAATCAAGTGTTTACCTGACTTGTATCCAATATAGCTAAAACCATGCATTTTTTTTCAGTCACATTAATCAAACTGTTTGTTTGGTGGGATACCCAGAGTAGTCAAAAGCAAGAAATGGTATGCTTATGTTTTGCTTGCTCCTCATCCCCCCGCCAATAGCTCCTTCCAGTGTCGCAGATATACCCATGGGAACTTGGGAATCAAGTACAAGAAGGATGAAGAGGGAGAAGCAGCAAGTGAGGAAAGGGTTAAAATTGTTTAGTCTCTCCTTCAAATCACAACCTCCTCACTCTTTGCCTGTTTGGTGTTGCTTTCTGATCCCTGGCCCAAGTTTGATGCCAAATGTGCAATTCAGTTCTCAAGCACTTACACAGGATTTATTTGAACATGTGTAGGCATCTTTCAGTCTCCACAGACTATGGTAATGTGCTCTGCATGGAGGTCTTGGAACAGCATCTAGTGAGGTCGAGAGGGCCAAATCGAGAGTGACAATCCTTTCCACACTGAAGACAAATACAATCTGTCCCCTGTCCAGCTCCCTGGTTTTGCTGGTTTCAGGATTGCCTCTTTGCCTCGGCCTGCTGGACAAGGGTTTCTTCAAATTGGGAGAGGCCATGTTGCATCACTGCTTCCAGGCTGAGCACTTTTACTTGAACATAAATGTATTTAAATTGGGGTGTTTCATTTCCAGCAGGTTCTACAACAATGTTCTTACAAAAAATAATTCTTAAAAAACCCTCCGGTTTGTGAATGTGAGATATTGTGTTCCTGTATTCATGATTTAAAACACCAGGAAATGGCTCAATATTGCTGCACAATATCAAATCTATGTGGCCGGCAGGAAAAAGGATGTCAAGCTTTACCTAGCAAAGGGCAGCCTGAATGTTGACTGCACCCATAGCAGCAATGAAGCTGGTCTACAGGATACCCCCTCATACTCACTACCATTCACAAAGTGGCACCAAGCAATGGAAAATCCCAGAAGCTGACTTCTTTTTTCATCAATTGATCACTTCTCACCCAAATGCTAAGCAATTGCCATGGCTGTTTTTTGACAACTGTGAATGGTAGTAAACACAAGAGAGTATCCTGCATGGATACAGAAGCATAATATCTCACATTCACAAACCAGAGCTTTAATTACACATATACTACATACAAATCCCAACAGAAACTTCCCTCATGGAGAATTACTTAGTGACAGAAGATCCCAGAAGAGGAGCACATGATCTTTAATATGGTTGCTTGGAGAGGACAGAAGCAAAAACAGCCTGAATGTAGCTGTGGTTCCCTCTGTGCCAAAATATTCTGAAGTGCTGTTTTGGACTGAATGAAATGATGAAGCAAAGATGCGAGTAAGTGCAAGACATACAATGGAGAAACATACACATCCTTTAACCTCTCAGATGAACTAATGTTCCCATTCCCTCTCCCACAGAATACAGAATAGGAAGCTATTTTCCAATTTCTAAACCCTTTCTTTAGGATAGATAACTTGAAGAAGAAAGCTATATGAGACCAAAGCATGGTGTGTGCATGCTTTCCAAAAGATGTCCTCTCACCTTTTGAAATAAAGAGAGAGAGAGCTCAGTGTTAGCAAAGATTGTCACTGGAAACCAAGGTCAAAATCATCCATACTATGTAAAAGAAGGATCGTTAAAGAAGGGAAGGGGGAATCAACTCATTTGAAATGTTGTGTTGGAGAAAGCCTTGCAGATAGCACAGCCAGAAAGGAAGAAAAGCGGGTGCTCGATCAAGTCAAGCCTATACTGACATTATAGCAAAAATGAGGAAAGTGAGGATATCATACCATGCACATATAACGAAAATACAGAACTGGCTGGAAAGGACAATACTGCTGGGAAAGGGGGCATTGGGAACAGAAGAAGACCTATCATGAGACAAATTGTCTCATTAAAGGAAGCCACAACTGTTTGCAAAACTTGAGCAGAAGTTACTGGAAAAGACACTATTGCTAGGAATTGGGGACAGTTGGAAGAGAGAACAACCAACATGAGATACTGCTTGGTTTATAAGATCTGAGCAGAGCTATTAATAATATGACATTTTGGAGGTAATTAACTCGTATAGTCGCCAGACATCAGAAGTGACTTAGTGGCACATAAAATCTTTGGAGATTTTTTTTCTAAATTACAAAACAACTGTGTAGCAAGAAGATGGACGAGATTGGTGAGACTGAAGAGATATAGATACCAAAATTCTGCATACATTGAGTATGACCATCCCCAGCCACAAAGAAAAAAAAGATTTTTTCAATAGTTCTCTGACAGCTTAAATGACTGAGTTTCTGAATATTTGCTCTCTATTCTTTTAAATACATATTCTAAAATATTTTTACAATCAGCCACATAATCTCTTTCTAAGCATGAATCCTAGTTTTGTCAGGCGTTAAACATTCAGTGGGGTCAGCAAATTGGGTCGTTACTGACAGGTTCAAAATTTCAGATTGCCTTAGACCTGGAGCTGATTTCCCCTTCAAAGACTTGTGTCAGAAGCCTTAGGAATCCTGAGAGAATGTTTAATGAAAGCAGTCAGGGCTGGGACAAATACAGCTGCCCCATGTTTTTGTAATACAGAAATACTTTGAAGTATGCCTTACAAAATTGTGTTATTTCCCTGGGGACCTGGGGACATGTGGCAAAATCACTCCCTGTTTGGAGGACTGTCCCTCCATTACTTTCTTTAAAGCAAATTTATTGGGGTTTTTAAAAAACTCTCTAAAGAGTATCTAAAGTATTTTGAATTTAAAATATTTTTAATTTATATGAGCTGTTTTAAATCTGGGGACATTTAGGGTCAGTTGTTTCCACATGGGGGAGTTCTACTTTAAAAAAATTGTAACTTGGAAACAGTTTGCCCAAACGTCCCCAAATTTGGCAAATAGCAAGATCAGACTGTTTGCTGCTCCTGTGACATTGGGTGCTGATCCAAAGTCCAGTTTTAAAGGGTTTTTTTTTTGTTTGGGCTGCACCCTTTTTTACAATTGTCTTGAAGAGTGTTGATTTGCCCTACCAGCAGAAGATCATTTCTGCAAAATTGTGCAGTTATAAATATCATGCGACTATATGGTAATGTCAACCCAAGCTTGTTTTTCTCTGACACTTCTGCTGTGGTTTAAAAACAAGTTAAATATATAGTTTACAGCTGTAGATATGAAAGATCCATGTCTCTTGTTTGAGAAAAATATTGGCACTGCTTTAAAACCTCTGCTGAAGGATCTCTCAAGGGTGATTCACACATTATTGAGGAAAAATCCAGGAAGACAAAATTCCATTCCTGCTTCTGTTGTTTGACTACCTGCAAAAGTGCATTAGGCTCTCTTCTACTGACAAACAGAGGTAGTTAAGGATTCCCCCCCCCCCGGCAACAGTTGCCTTAATTTATATGCACAAGAAGGATGCCTCTTCTGGGATCTAAATGGAAATAAGAATTGAGTAAAATATTCCACAATGAAAAACAGCTCAGTACATTCATTAACTGCTGTCTAGCACTTCAGAACTCTTAATAAAAAAAAATAGAAAAGGATATGGCCCCCTGGAGAGCCCTAGAACATTTAAAGGGGGCCACAGACTGGAAACAATTCTTCACACACCACCTTATAAGATTCATTATGTAACTTATACAATCTTGACACGGCCTGTATTTCTTTCATATTGTGTTTATGACCATGGCAACAACAACAAAAAAGATCAGAATGGCTGCTATAGATAGAGCATGTGGTGGCAATTAAAAATAATATACTTCCAGTTTTGTTTTGGTTTTTCTGTTTCTCAGATTTTAGTATTAGTATTAAGGGTTCCTCAACAAAAGTACAATTCAATGCAACCTGTGCTAAATATTCATAAATTAGGAGATCATGTAGGTAACCAATGAAAGATTTATTTGAAGAAGAACAGCCCAAACTTGTTTTTGTCTGGAATTTTGAAATAACAGAGGGAAATATGTGTAATGCAACTGAAGAAAATGTTTGGAATGAAAATATTTATAATTTGGAACAAAAAAAATCAATGATGACTTTTGGCTCTATTTTCTAAGGTACGTGGGCATTAGTGTGCGTTTGCTATATTCAAATTGGGCCCAAATTTGTTTACAATCAAAGTAGATACCCACAATTTAGAACTGTTCTTAGTGGATTATGTGTGGATTATGGATTTTCCATTAGAGGGAAAGAATTCAGTTAGCAGGAAAAAGAGAGAGGGAGAGAGAATGCAATTAGCAGAAAAGAATTCTCCTTAGTTTAAATTCAATTCATCAGTATCCTGTTGAGTTTCTACTAAGAAGAAAGACCTGTCGGTGCTATAACACAAGATTATGCCCCTTGTGCTGTTGCTGTTATACAAATGGAAGTCAAAATTTCTTCATGGAGATAACCACTTGAACAATACTTCTGTAAATGGCGCAATCCCACATTACTACACTAGTTAAAATTCCTACTCAGTGGAAACTCAAGAAGACATGGGGCACAGTATGTTGAACTCCTTGGTGTTGACACGGACATTGTTTACAGCAGAAAAAAAAATCTTGATAAGCTATCCTGGGAACACATAAGACATTTCAGAAGTGCTTGTGAGGAAGAGCTATCGTAGCTCTGTGGTACAAGCCACATTCGCAAATATAATATTGCATGCTCTGCATTCAAAAGTATCTCAGGTATTAGGCTGGGAAACATCGTAGAGTCACTGCCAGAGAAGATGCCATTAGGTTACATTATCTTGGCTCAATAGAACTTCATATGAAGTGAGCTGTATTATTGAAGAGGCCTTCAAAGATGAGCCATGATAGCAGGCTCTGGTGGAGAGCTTAGCTGCCTGGGTAGAAGAACACTCCAATACCATTATATGAAGTCAAGGGTCCTATATGTGCACTACATCTGCCTTGGTTAAAATGCTGCCTCGATTTCCACTTGGTTCTCCTTTTCCTCTGGAGAACCCGTGTGGTTGTTCTGAAGCCTAAGAGGCTTCTGAGGAGGAAAGGCACCCAGCTTCCCCTCTTCGTCTTCATTAGCCTCTTCATGGACTCCATGGGACAGGCAGTCCGGTTCAGAGTTGCTTCTAACATACCCAGGCAAATTTATGTGGGTGTCATTTGGTCTGGAGACATTTTTGCAGGCTCTGCTAGATATCAGTATCATGCGAGAACTAGTCACCATCTGAGACTGGCTGCTGGTGCTGTGGTTCATGTTTGTAAGGACAGAGCCATAGCGGTAGCTCCCACATGGAGCTTTCCTCTCCCAATCCATAGCCAGGTTCCATCTTGCCCAGGTTTTCTTGATCTCCGTCTGTACCTAGAGGAAAAGAAAATGGTCATCTCTAAATGCAAGGGAGGAGCAGGAGAGCCACTTTCATAGAATCCTTTGTATTCATTCGCAATGAAGTGTGCCCTCACTGTACTAAATTTGTAGCCACACTTATTCTACAACAGTCATGGAAAAGTGTGCTACAGTTATGGCAGATGTGTAAAGAATACAAAACAGAATGCATTATAGAGCTATATAATAGAATATTAAATAGAAAGAGAGAGAGAGAGCCACACCAGACAAAAAGCTCTACAGAACAACAGAAAAACACAGAAGCCTGCATTTTCCCCAGCTCTTTCCCCCACCTTTCATTGTGAGGGACTGGCTGTTCTTCATTTTTCTTAAATGCAAATTGAATGTGGCTGGAACCTTAGCACTTTACTATGTGCAAAATAATATGCCCTACAATAGGGCACTGGATTCCTGCCCTGGGTTTAGGGTGAACTCTTAAAGTAGAGGGAGAAAGGGGCGTCGTCCATCTGTTATTTGCATTGCTCAAACCATAAATCTAAATCATCCTCCAGTCTTCAAATACTGTACTTTTTAGGAAAAGCTCTAGTGGAAGGAGGAAGCCGATGAAACCAATGGGACAGATGCAACCAAAGTGATAGGAAAATCAAAACTCAGTTCAAATTGTCAGAAAAAAACACATTCCTTGGTGCCCTCCAATCATGCTGGCCAAGTAAGATAGTCCTCGCTAGCTTTTTATGAAATAATTTGTCTCTCAGACCAGCCTTGACTGTATTTCATTTTCAAATAAATATCACTGCCCTCTGCGGAAGCATCTCACAAGACAAACAACAGCTAGGATCCAACACAGTTTTTGATAATGGTTGTTGTAGGTTTTTTGGGCTGTTTGGCCGTGTTCTGAGGTTTTTCTTCCTAACGTTTCACCAGTCTCTCTGGCCGGCATCTCTGAAGATGTTGGCCACAGAGACTGGTGAAACATTAGGAAGAAAATTTTCCAGAACACAGCCAAACAGCCGGAAGAACCTACAACAACCATCGGATCCCAGCCGTGAAAGCCTTCGACAATATAGTTTTTTGTTAACTTCTCCTTTTACATGGAGATTTTAGTCTCCTGTTAGTTGAGCTGCAATTCAACTATGTTAGACTGAGACTTAGTCATGCCTAGAATAGATCCATGGAAATCAGTGGGACTTAAGTTAGTGATGACTTACTAACTGCTCTTGCTTTTGCATTGTGTAAGGATATTGTTTATAGGCTCCTTCCAACTTCATTGTTCTATGATTGGAGGATACCTTGAATAGCCACCCAGAGCACCATCTAGAATAATACTAATTTGGCCACAACTAGCTTCACCTAGTGGGATGACTAAACTTTTTTTTCTGATTCTTTGATAGGAGATTTGTCACATTTCTGTGTAACCTCATTCCTTGGCCAAATAGGAAGTTTAAGTTTCAAAAGAAGGCCATCAGGGAGGGGTAAATGCTGAATATCTGGCAGCTCTTTGTTTGTTGACTTGGGAGACAAAATCCAACCAACAGCTGCCAAGGGTGGAATTTGAAACCTACACTTCTGAGTTGCATTTGCAGCCTGCATTTTGGAACTTATTTTTCAGAAATAGACCTGGCACAGACCTCTGCCATGACTTCTGGAACTTTCATATGACTTTTTCCCTGCACTATCTACAGTATATTGGAGTACAGCCTGAAGAAGTTTAGGACAGGTCGAAAGCTGGCTTTCTTTTTTTAGTGGTTTAATAAAGTTATCACCTGCCCTTGCTTTTGTATTGTATAAGGACCACATACCTTTGCTTGTTTATTTTTTCTTAACAGTTGGACACAACCCATAGCTTTGTGCTTCTTTCTAGACCTTTACTTTAAAGTAGAACATGAAGGCTGAAGAGAGTAGCGAAAAATTCATCCCACAACTCAGTCATTGAAATAGGCTAGAATTGCTCCTATTTTACATATCAGTAAGGTGAGTCTCAGGTTGTCATTAATGGCTGAATTTGGTAACTCACCTCTCCATTGCAGTAGCAATAGATGATAGAGACAAAGAAACCCTGCATGAGAAAATGAGGATAATCATAAACACAATAATAAATATATAACTTAATTATCACCACCTTGAACAAAGAATTTTATGCTGATATTTAACAGATACTTGTGAACTGAAACAGTTCCTGCAGCATGAGGATGCACTTTCTGTGAATCTGGGGGACAGTGAAGACCCCACACCACTGAAAGATGCCTGTCCTTGATTTAAATGGGGACCCAATCTAATGGCTGGTACTATGCCATAGAATCACCAGCTTTGTATATGACCTGGGGAAAATGTGAATAATCCACCATGAAGTCACACTGGGGAAATCTGGCTTCCCTGAATTAATTCACTTCAGCCAACCACACAGAAGTCAGCAGAGAGGGGGGAGGAAATCATTCTTGTTTGCAGCTTGTTAACATTTGAATCATCTCCTCCTCACACCTGGTACTGGGGTCATCTTCCTTTCCATCCTTCCTCTCTTCCCTTCCCTTCCCTTCCCTTCCCTTCCCTTCCCTTCCCTTCCCTCTTTCTTTCTTTCTTTCTTTCTTTCTTTCTTTCTTTCTTTCTTTCTTTCTTTCTTTTAAGGCACTGGTTCCCAACCTTGGGTTGCCAAATGTTCTTGGACTAACCTCCCAGACACCTTCATCACAGCTGTTCTGGCCAGGAAGAATATCTGGTAACCAGATTAAACACTTGATATCCTAGTGCTAAGGCAGCTGGCTGACCAAAGGGGAGTCGAGGAAGGAGTCAGCAGACAAACAGGAGGAACTTTTAAGATAGCTCTGCTCTTATTGTGCTTCCTGCAAATCTGGATGTTCAGATCAAAGCTACCTTAACACTTCCTTCTCTCTCTGATTCCTCACTCTTTTCTTTTTCCTTTGGTTAGCCAGCTGCCTAGTGCTAGGACAGCAAGTATTTAAAAGAGGGAGGGAGGAAAGACACCAAGGCACCATATGTGGAGAAGAGAGGATTCAGTGGCAGTCACTTTCCCCAATGCCCTGCCTCTCTCCTTGCTGTGATAGCAGCTCAAACACTTTCCAGCTACATAGCCCTTTTCATCAACCCAAGCAATCACACCATCTGAACCAATGTTAATGTATTTGATTCCAAAGTAGAAACCCTATCAGTGGAGAAATTGGGGAGGGGGGAGAGGGGGACTCCAGGCTGATTTGCATTGACTTTCAGATCATGTCGTCAATGGATAGTAAAGCAAATCAGATCATCCCCATACCAGAGGGTTTTCTGCATTATTTGCTAATCTACTCTTAAATTATTCAAATGCTACCCCAGATGTGTAGGAGGCACTGACAATAATCAAAAGCTTACTTGAAAGGAAAAATGTGCAAAAGACAGCACCAAAATTGGTATTATAGAGGTTAACTGTGGTTAACAGTACTATTTGAGCAACGCTTTTGTGTATGTCTGCAATGAACACATTCCTCTCTGGTTGAGGATCTACATTCTTACAAGAAGAACCAGACAACATGAGAAAGGGCCATCTCCCTATTCACCGTTACTGAATGGCAGGGTTATTTAATGACAATGTACCACCATGAGTTACCACACCTGGAATGAGTTGAAGAACAGCTCACAGTGCATCCGGATCTCCCAGCCCAGACCAGTGAATGTGTGAGGCAGGCATACGAACACAATGTAATGTACTCCAAAGACAAGAATCAGAATCAAAGTGGATTTTGCTAGTTTCCTAGAAGAGAAATGACAGCAATTATGCTGTTAGCAAATCTTTGGGTCCAAGGCCCAGTCTAAGCCCAAGTCTTTGGTCCCAATTCCCAGTCCCTATTAAAAATAAGAGTTTTCCCCAGAAAAAAGGGAGAGATGGGTGTATTCTGGGTCGTGAATGGAGTCTAAGTCAATGAAAAAACATATGTCAAGTTTCAGTTGAGTCACTGGTGCAACTTAAGCAAGTCCTACAACTCAAGCCCTCATCTCTGATTATAATCACTTATAATTTTGACTTGAGTGTTGTGTGCTGTATTATAAAGCATGACACAGACTGCAAAATTAGAGACACTGTGGTCAGTTGACTCATATTATCTATATTAGGCTATAAGCAGCCTGATTCTTTACAAAACTGTGGGATGCCTTTTATTATGCGGTCCCCCCTGCTGCAGACATGGATTTTCATGGGGCAGGCAAGTTGGTTGGGGGGACAAGTGGGATGGTCCCCCACTAGTAACCCTTCAGTGCTTTCCTACAATTTCTTCTTCATTTATTCTTACTACAGAAAAGCCTAGAAAGGAAGTTAAAAATGGAATGGCTGAACAATGCCTAAGATGAGGAGCGGTCTGCTCTGAAGCACTCCTGGAATGTTATTTAGTGACAATGCTAAAGGAGGCTGGTATAAATAGAAAAAGTTACCTGCCTAGCTTGTATTTATACCCAGACGCAACATCTCTTCTCTGTGCACAGGAAATGCTAAGAATAAATGCTGAGCTCTGGGAACATGCTTTTTCCACACATTCTACAAACTTATTTGACCAACAACTCAATCCGTTACTACACTTCTGACTGGATCCAGAAAAATCATTTATGATTAGGATGGTCTATATAAACATTGTGAAGGAGACTGCACCAGTATTCTTTAACTATAACATCACAGGTTCCCAACCTGGGGGTCATGACTGAAGGGATCATGAAGTGGTTTCTCAGGGGGAGGGATCAGTGCAGTTATTTTTAGTTGCAATTATTTTTATATTTATTATATTAAATATGGTATACACAATGCTGTTCTGTTTTGATCCTCTTGGCCCACAGATAGATAAATTTAATCTGAACTGGAATTGCAGGCAACCTGGAGTTTTTAGTTATTTCTGTACCCCTTTTTTTGAAGATGCCATTGGTTCAAATGGTGGTTGCATGAGAGCACTGAGAACAATTTGTAGAGACCATTGGGGTACAATACATTGGCATGGGGGACAAATGTTATTGAGTCCTTTGTGAAATTTTTTCACCGTAGGGTAGGATAAAAGTTTTACTGATTTCAAGTTATCTGGCTGATGGGCAATGGTGGCTGAAATATAGACTTTTAAGGTGGAATGAGAAAGTCCAAATTTGAAGAGATGGAGCTGGAGTAGTGTCTTCAGGCATTGCAGGTAAGTTATTTGCTTCGGTATAATTAAGAAAGGCTTTCCATATATTAGCATATAGAAGCCGAGTTCAAGGCTTTCGTGCTTGATCTAAAACATGCTTCAAGGTGGGAGTATCCTCAAAGCAGTCAAATTCAGCGTTGGAAGATCTGGATGGTAGACCATCCCATTGCTCTGTGACAGTAGGTCAGGAACCAGAGGGAGTTGAAACAAGTCCGTCGACATCGACCTGAGGTGAGTGAACCACGGCTGCCTCAGCCACCAAGGAGCTAGGAGGATCACGTTCGATTGGAAGTGCCGAATTTGGATGATTGTCCGTTGGATGAGTGGTATTGGTGGGAATAGGTAGAGCAATCCCTTGTTCCAAATCATCATGAACGCGTCCCCGATGGAGTTCTCATCTGCCCTGGCTTGAGAACAAAAGACCTCGCATTTGGTATTCGCACTGGAAGCGAAGGGATCTATGGCCGGTACTTCCCATCGATGACAAAGGTGATGAAAAATTGCATCCTTGAGGGACCACTCGTGCGTTCTTGATGTCATACAACTGAGGTGATCTGCTATGTAATTGTCGTCCATGAAGATGTGCACTGCAATAGGGAAGATGTGAGGTTGGTAACACCATTCCCACAGGTCGATGGCTAAGTACAGGAGGGATAATGGATGTGTTCCTCCCTGCTTGTTTATGAAATAAAGGCACTACTATGTTTGTTGCAACTTGCACAACTCGACCCTCAATGATTCGGAGAAAGGCATAAAAGGTTCTGATGATTGCTAAATGCTCGAGATCATTGATGTGGAGTGATTGTTCTTGTTTTGTCCATAGACCATGTATCTGTGATGACAGTGTGCTCCCCATCGGGACGGGCTGGCATCGGTGATGACCTTCACGTTGGCTGGAAGAACAGGAAAGGTAATCCAACAAGGAGATTCGGCATTGATGTCCACCAGGTGAATTGTTTGGCTAACTCTGGTGTCACCATCAATCTCATGGATGGGTGGTCTTCCATCGGGTTGAACAGCGACAGATACCATGATTGGAGTGACCTCATTTTGAGTCGTGCATGTTGGATTACCAATGTTGTAGAAGCCATAAGCCCAAGGAGGTGTTGAACATGGTGGGCTGGTATGGAAGCTCAGGATCAAAAGGGTCGAATTGTCTTTTTTATTTTGTAATTCTTTCTGAAGGGATGAAAGCCCTCGCTTGCAGCGAACCGAAGAGGGCTCCAATGTAGGTGACTGTATTGGTTCAAGGTGAGATTTTGTATAGTTTACTTTGAGTCCGAGGTTCTGAAGTGTGTCGAGAGTGATGGTTGTAGCTTTCATGGCACCGTGGTACGATGTTGCAACTATCAGCCAGTCATCTACGTAAGGATAGATGTTTATACCCTGTAGACAAAGATACACTGCAACTCGTGCCATGCATTTCGTGAAAGTCCTTGGTGCCATGGAAAGGCTGAATGGTAGGGAGCAGAATTGGTATACGATATTACTGAATTGGAATCTGAAAAATCTTTGATGAGATGGATGGACTGAAATATGGAAATAGGCATCCTGTAGGTCTATGACAACAAGCCAGTCTCCCTGTGAAAGTAAAGGGATAATAGTGCTGAGGGTCAACATTCTACATTTTCAGGGTTGAATGAAAATGTTGAGGTGTCTAAGATCAAGGATAGGATGGAGTCCTCCATCTTTCTTGGATACAGTGAAATATTTTGAATAGAAACCATTGTAAAGATCAGATGATGATACTTTGATTATAACATGTTTTTGAAGAAGATGCTACTTCTTCTTGAAGAGCCATAGAATATGGAGTAGATCTGAATATTCCTATAGGTGGAAGGGATTTAAACTCAATGAAATAGCCAAATTCTTAATAAAAAGGACCTATTGGTAATTAGTAATATTTTGCCAAAAATGAAAAAATGGTTGCAATCTAGTTTGAAACTGGTAGTGAAACTGGTTCAGTGGTACATGAGTTTTATGGGTACTGCTTATATTGCTTACCTTTTTTCTGGGGTTGCCGTCAGAAAGGTTGGTCTTGATTCTGAAAAGATGATGTCGATGGTGGACAGGATTTGTCCGCTGGCTGTGATCTGAATTGTCGATATGGTTGGAATTGATGATACGGTTGTTTGTTTGTTTGTTTATTTATTTATTTTATATCCCGCCTATCTAGTCAATTAAGACCACTCTAGGCGGCTGAAAAGATTGTGGATAGGTTTGATTCTGTCTGTATTGAGGTTGTCTGTATTAATGGTTGGTGTATGATTTTGCAGTCTGTTTCTAGGTTAAATAAGCCCGTACCGTCAAAGGGAAGGTCCTCTATCTGATCTCGCCACTTCCAGGGATGCTGACAGAAGATTCATGGCCATCTCCCAAAGGAAAGATCGGACCCTCTGGAGCCTGAGTTTCAGTGCAGGCCTTGTTAGCATTTTACAAGCCACACAGGTATGGGTAGGGTGCTGCTCACCCAAGCAGAATAAACAATGCTGGTGGCCGTCCGATAGCGGTATTTTGTTTGAACAGCCAACACAGCGTTTAAACGGGGCTGGCAAGGCCACAAAGAGCAGGAAACTAGAAGGGATGATGGAGTAAGTCACAGAGGAACATAGATTACTTGATTGAAAAATAAGGTGTCGATTTGTTTCTGGTTAGAAGAGGAAGTAATGAATAATCATTAATAAATTGCTCAAAATCATTCTAACTCGCTCTATTCTTCCGAAGGTCCGATCAGCTCGGTGGAAAAAAACTGAGGGGAATCTTGGGTGGGCGGAGCATGTGCTCCACAGGGGAACATCCCACTAACTTTGTAACATTAAGCTCTAGAATCTTCCAAGACATTCAGCGCAGGTGCAGAATAACCCATTTGTGTGCATTCACAGAGACCACAAAGAAGAATCTATTTTAATATGTTTTCCTTAACTCATTAAAAATGCCTTCTTATGCAAATGTAGCAGGGAGGTCACAGGTTACTTTGCTATTACAAAAGGCATTCAGGACTTGAAAAGGCTGGGAAAAACAGACCTATGGTGTAGCCTGATTTTCCATTTCATCATGGATCTCCATTTTATGCAAAGATGTATCCAAATAGTAACCGAAGTAGCATTAAATAACATTGAGCGCCTGCCTGTCTTGAAAGAGTTGGACAGCAAACCAACTTTAGCAGAAATAAAAGCAGCCTTGGATTCCCTCGCCTCTAGCAAGGCACCTGGAAAGGATAACATCCCCGTTGAAGTGCTGAAGTGCTGTAAAGAGATCATCACCACTGAACTGTATGAAGTCTTTCATCTTTGCTGGAGGGAAGGTGGAGTACCACAGGCCATGAAGGACGCAAACATCATCACATTGTATAAGAACAAAGCAGACAGGGGCGACTGAAATAACCACTGTGGCATCTCTCTTCTTAGCGTTGTAGGGAAGCTGTTTGCCTGAGTTGTGCTGAAGAGACTCCAGGTGCTTGCAGATAGAGTCTATCCAGAATCACAGTGTGGATTCCGAGCTAATAGATCCACCACTGACATGGTATTCTCCCTCCGACAGTTGCAGGAGAAATGTAGGGAACAACAGCCATTCTTTGTGGCCTTCATTAGATCTCACAAAAGCCTTTGATTTGGTTAGCAGGGATGGCATTTTTAAAATACTTCCCAAGATTGGATGTCCACCTTGACTCCTTAACATCATCAGGTCCTTCCACGAGGGAATGAAAGGCACTGTAGTTTTTGATGGCTCAACATCAGATCCCTTTGACATCC